TGCTGGACCAAGGTCTTTCATAGCGAATTTTGATTGGAGTTGAACAACTAGATCAGTCATAGCCTTAATATTGTTACCGGTGAGAAGTATGTCATCGACATACACTAGTAGATAAAGTTGGACGTGCTCACGGTGAAGAGTTAAGAGCGATGGGTCGGCCCTGCTATGATTAAAACCAATTTGAAGTAAGTAAGATGTGAAAGTAGTGTACCATTGTCGTGGAGCTTGTCGGAGGCCGTAGATGGCTTTCTTAAGATGACAGACATGGTTCGGTTTAGAAGGATCTTCAAACCCTTTAGGTTGTTTCATGTAGACCGTGTCCTGAATCTCACCGTGCAAGAATGCGTTTGCAACGTCGAGTTGATGAACCGGCCATTTGTGAAAGAGTGCAATTGTGAATAGAATTCGAATTGTAGGAAGCTTTGCGACCGGGCTAAATGTGTCTTGGTAATCAAGACCATGTTCCTGTTGATTTCCTTGAGCTACGAGACGAGCTTTGAATCGCGCCACTGCACCGTCCGACGTGTATTTTGTTCGGTAAGTCCATTTTGAACCCAATATCTGTCCGTTTGCAGGAGGCGGTACCAATGTCCATGTACCCTGTTTTTGCAAGGCTAAAAATTCTTCAGCCATTGCTCGTCTCCATTCAATCTTTTTACATGCTTCGGCATAGGACGTTGGATCGGATTGCAGTTGGGTGAGATGTAGTAAATTAAGTTTTTGGACAGGTTTAAGAGAGCCTGTTTTTGATCTGGTTGTCATGTGGTGGACAGGAGGTAGTGCTTGAAAACTTGGCAACTGACCAACTGCATCCGAAGCTGGTGTAGGAGCAGTAGTTGCTGGATTAATAGCAGTGTATAAATCGGGTTGGTCCGGAATTGGAAGCCTTGGTGTATGGATTGTATGAATTTGGCGTTGAATTGTTGAAGGAATAAGCAACGCAGGCAGCACGTCTGGTGTAGAGGTTGTATCCGGAACAGCTTTGTGCCTGAATGGAAAAGAAGTTTCGTTAAATTTAACATTGCGCGAGATGATTAATTTGTTTGTTACCGGATTCCAACATTTATAGCCTTTTGAGTTTTCAGAGTAACCAAGAAAGACACATGCAGGTGACGTGGGGCTTAATTTGGTGCGATGAACCGACGGTAGAAGAGGATGACATTCACATCCAAAAACTCGCAAATGGTCATAGGATGGAATGATGTTAAACATTCTTTGTAACGGTGAGATGTTCTCAGTCGTAGTAGAAGGAAGTCGATTGATAATGTACGTAGCAGTAAATGCAGCTTCCATCCAATAGTCCATTGGTAAGGCTGCGGTATGAAGAAGCGTTCTTGTCATAGTTATGATATGACGATGCTTACGTTCAGCTATACCATTTTGTTCAGGAGTGTATGGACATGAAATTTGATGCCGTATACCGTGTTTGGCTGTAAATTCCTGAAATTTGCGATTGACGAATTCGCCACCGCCATCAGTTCTAACAGTTTTTACCTTGTGACTAGTTTGTCTTTCAATAAAAGTAATAAAGTGTATAAAACTATTAGTAACCTCAGATTTATGTAAGAGAGGAAACAACCAAATAAAGCGAGAAAAATCATCTATAAAAACCACATAATACTTGAATCCCTGATGTGATGAAACCGGTGAGGGACCCCATACATCAGAGTGAATTAGTTCAAGTGGAGCAAGACTTTTACTAATGGATTTTTCGAATGATAGTTTGTAACCTTTACAGGATAGGCAAGGTGTACATGCAGAATTAAACGACTTAATATGTAAAAATGGATTGTTCTTGGAGATTTGCTGAAGAACCCGCTGATGGGGGTGTCCGAGACGGCAATGCCAGTCCACCGAAGTTGCAGCGGTCGCAGTGAAAGCTGTAGGAGTATGTTGCGGAGATTGGCTTGCAATTTTGTACAGGCCATTGCTACACGGTCCTGTGAGAATGACTTTGTTGGTCGTCCGATCCTTAAATACAAAACCAGTTTCATCAAAGATTATAGAAATTGGGTTATCCTTAACCAAATTAGATATAGATAAAAGATTATACGATAGATTAGGAATATGAAGTAATCGAGATAAATTGAGCTTACTGGCAGGGGTAGGAAGGAGTCCCGAGCCCGTGTGAGCTATGGGAACGGACCTTCCGTCCCCAATGGTTACCGAATCAGTCCCTTTGTAGACATTGTAGACGTCCAGATTATCAATGGTATTTGTCATGTGTGCAGAAGCTCCCGAATCAAGGTACCAATCAACCGCCGAATTGCTGTCATTGTTAGCCACCAACGCCGAGTTCTGTTTTGAAGAAGCGTTTGTAGAATTCGGTACATAGTTGATGTTTAGCCGGTGCCAACACGCATCAGCAAGATGCCCTTTCTTTTTACAAATTTGACAGATAATGCCCGAATTCTGGGAGGATTTGCTTGACAGAAGTTGCTCGTGACCCGATCGTCCTCGACCACGGCGACCACGACCTCTGAACGTGTAGAGAGCTGACTGTGTGTCCGGTAGTTTAGGATACTTGAGCGCGGCGGTCTTGAGATGAATTTCTTCACTCATAAGAAGCGCATACAGAGTATCTAGGGACAATGGACCTTGCATAGTGCGTATAGTCGTTGTGAACGGCAGATACTCGGGAGGAAGACCGTTCAAGATATAGATGATTACATCTTCCGGATCGACAGACGACCCTGCGGACGAAATTTGATCCACGATCTTCTTTATGTCAGTGAGATATTGAGTCATGGATAAATTTTGCATAGAAACATTGTGTAACTCATGTTTGAGCTGAATCACTTTGGATCGATTTGACGACTAAAATCTTGTATGAAGAGTCGTCCAGATTTCGCTCGTAGATTCGAGATGTATGACGTACGGTAGAACCGCCAGCGAAATGGTAGAACACATTGCCGTTGCAAGATTTTGATCAGTGATGCGGCTTATTTGAGGATCTTGATTCGGATCGGCATTTTCTTGCGCGAATGAGGAATCAAGAAAGCTCGCAAATCCGTTCGCCTTGAACAACTTCGCTATTTGCGTACTCCAAATCGGAAAGTTATCCAGCGTAAGAGCGTGAGGAACAAGAAGTTTAAGATTCGAAATTACAAATTTGAGGGCTGGCGGAATGAGCGACGGCATGGAAACGGAGTTCGTAGGGACTCCGATGGAGGAGGCGGCAGAATCTTGATGCGCCATTG